TTAATACGAAAAAATCCACGATTAATTAATCATGATTATTAAAAAAGCCACGCTTAATTAATCATGATTATTAAAAAATCCACGCTTAATTAATCATGATTATTAAAATATCCACGCTTAATTAATCATGATTATTAAAAAATCCACGCTTAACTAGTCATGATTATTAAAAAATCCACGCTTAATTAATCATGATTATTAAAATATCCACGCTTAATTAATGATGATTATTAAAAAATCCACGCTTAATTAATCATAATTATTAAACAATCCACGCTTAATTAATCATGATTATTAAAAAATCCACGCTTAATTAGTCATGATTATTAAAAAATCCACGCTTAACTAGTCATGATTATTAAACAATCCACGCTTAATTAATCATGATTATTAAAAAATCCACGCTTAAGTAATCATAATTACTAAAAAATCCACGCTTAATTAAACATGATTATTAAAAAATCCACGCTTAATTAGTCATGATTATTAAAAAATCCACGCTTTACTAGTCATGATTATTAAAAAATCAACGCTTAATTAATCATGATTCAAAAAAACTGTGTCCGCAATACCGTGCGGATTTAAAAATGTGAAAAGCGATGTACTCAGTACAAATGATGAAAGATATTTTCTTTTATAGAACTAATTGATATGATATTCAAGTATTTTAAGATTTTAAATGTTGTCTATCAAATTCTGCAGAATGAAACGAGAACACTGTAGGGAATTAGTCTATAAACAGTGTACAGTATGTAATAGAAATATTTTAATTAGTTTTTATTATTGGCAACAGTTTACGTGAATTTTTCTAACAAAAGAAGCAGAGACAGAATGTGATAGTTTTGTTTAACTGAGGTTTAGTTTTTTTTTCTTTTATGAGGATAGTATTGTCAATTTGATTGAACAATTATATTCAGTAATTTGATGATAAAGGAACAGAAATGATCGTGTATCCGAATTTGGTAGGAATGAGTATGAGAATATTATTTATTGAAAGTGTATTTGAAGCGGCGTAAAAGGTGTGAAATTATTGTCTGATTTATGATGTTTTGAGATAATGGTAGTTAAATATTTATACATTAAAGAAAATGTAAGAATGCATATCAGTCATGAGATCAAGTAAAAGCGTGGAATGAAGACTTGAAGCAGCATGAATTCTTAATGATAAAAATGGTGGAATTTGAAAATAAAAAAAGCTATGAATTGCTTCCTAAAGTGTTGGAAATTTAGAAATGCTTAGTTTTATTCATATTTAATAAAATTTATTTAGTCATCCTATATATTGTTTTATGCAATGGTATTTATATGAATAGTTTTTGGATTAAAATGAATAACAACATTCATCGAAGATAAGACAAGTAATACATTTTCATCTTCCACTAAGTCGTTTTGACAAAGTTGTTCACGATTAGACTCTTGTAATAAAACTTGAAGTGTTGATCTTTCAACAATGAATTCAAATATATTATGATTTATATCGGTTACATTAAGTTTTATTTCGTTTTGTTGGATTGAAACTTTTAAATACAAAGATCTTGATTTACATATTATACAATTCATAGTCTTACCATTATATTCAGCGTCAGTTGAATAACATTTTTGACAAAGACAAGGCTACTCTATTACTCCAATTGCTGTTATTATACCTGCTATTGGTGAATCTTGTACGATGTTAATAAAGTCACAAGAGACAACATTACCGATGTTTTCCATAGGTTCAACTCTAGAAATATTTGTACATGTTTTATCAGAAGAATATATGAAGGGATATTTCTGAATTTGGAACCTGTTTATAAATAAATTAAGCAAAAATGAAGACAAATAATAGGAAAGCTAACGCTGTATGCGTTGTTGTTATGAACTGAAGTGTTCTCCTTCATTCATAAGACGAAACAAACAGAATAAGACACACTCCTTTCTAGTGAAGTGGTTAATACGTCTGCCCGGTAAGCAGGAGGTGCATGGTTCGATTGCATGCGAAGGGAGATTATTCTTTTGTTTCGTTCTATTGTCATACCATCACGTTGCTATCTCGCTGATAACTCAGTTTAATAATATGAGAGAAAGAATCCGTAACAGTTGTCGTTGTTACAGACATTTCGTCATTAAATATTTTCACTTTTGCTAATTTAATTAAGTAATATTGATCCTTTTCTATAAATGTAAAATTATTCTCCCAAAGATTTAATTTAATCCAATTAGTTTTATCAACGACTAGAATTTCTTTTTTTAACTGTTTGAATTCTTTTATCTGCATTATTAAACAATGCAACTTCTGCTATGACCTGCATCTGAAGAAGATACAGGTCATAAGGGTTTTTCCTCTTTTTTTTAATAAGAGTATACATATAAACTTGTGCTCTGCTTCTTTTCTCTTTTGTTAGTCATACACCAATAATTTTCCCTTTCTTTCATATATGTTGGAATTTTCTCATTCGCTTTTCTTTCTTTCATGTTGTCCTATGGATATTTCCCTCCTTTGCTCATTGTTTATTATTACTCTACATATAGCGTTACGTTGTTGTGTGAGAGATATAAAAAAATATATAGATAGATAAATAAAAATAAAGTATAGTTGGTTAAAGATCTAACAATTGGTGCACTAGCCGATCTTACTAACAATTCAACAACCTAGTAAGAGACCCGGAGTCATATATGAACGGAAAAAAGCATCATACTCGAAGTATGGCACAAACACAAGAATTTCTATCATTAACTGATTCGGAGCGAAAAATCGAAACAGATGACCAAGACAAAAATGGAGAAGAACAAGAAGCTAATCAACAACAGCACAAAATCGTGTCATTGTTGCAAGAACTGTTGGCTAAACAAAATTTGCTTACACAAGATATGGCAACACAACAGATCACAATTAATAATCTTTCTCAAGCAGTTGAAGCTTTACAAGGAACCAAAATATCATATCCAAATATACCAGTAACTAATCCATCTTTAGCACCAACAACAGCTTCTGTCTCGGAGCTAACACCATCCATGATGAAAAGTGTTGAACTTAGCCCCAAGGAACAAGCTTCCGAACAACTGCAATCGAAACGGATCGATCAACTACTTAATTCTATCCCATTTTCTGGATCCAATTCACAAGAGGTTTCAGACTGGATCGAAGATTTCGACGATAGGTGTGATCAACTCCAACTAGGAGATGTTCAACGTTTATCCGTGGCTATTAATCTTCTCACAGGTAATGCAAAACTATGGTATGACACACATAAGCATACCATTGATGATTGGATAACACTA